GAGGAGGAGGAGGAGGAGGAGGAGGAGGAGGAGGAGGAGGAGGAGGAGGAGGCGGAGGGAGACCAGGAGGAGGAGGAAGAGGAGGAGGAGGAGGAGGAAACGAAGAAGGAAAAGGAAACGAAGGAGGGGTAGTAGGAGGAGCAGGAGGAGGAGGAGGAGGAGGAAGAGGAGGAGGAGGAAGAGGAGGAGGAGGAAGAGGAGGAGAAGGAGGCGGATGACGAGGACGAGGAGGAGGAGGAGGATGAGGAGGGGATCAGGGGCAGGACGGGGGACGAGGATGAGGGAAGGGAGGGAGGGGGGAGGGATGTGAGGGAGAACGGAGGGAGGGAGGGAGGGAGGAAGGGTGGAGGGAGAGAGGGAGGAGGAGGCAGGATGGAGGGATGAGGATCAGGAGGGGGATGGGGATGGGGATGCGGATGCGGATGCGGATGGGGATGGGGATGGGGATGGTGATGGGGACGATGTGGATACTGATGATGATGATGATGATGATGATGATGATGATGATGATGATGATGATGCTGATGATGATGATGCTGATGATGGTGCTGCTGCTGCTGATGATGCTGTTGATTCTGACGCTGATGATGATGCTGCTGCTGCTGATGATGATGATGAGGTTGCTGATGATGCTGATGATTATGCTGATGTTGATGCTGATGGCAAGGATGCTGATGCTGCTGATGATGATGCTGATGATGGTGAAACTGATGTCGATGCTGATGCTGATGCTGATGCTGATGATGATGTTGCTGATAATAATGACGATGATGATGACGACGACGATGATGATGCTGCTGCTGATGCTGTTGATGATGTCTTTGCTGATGATGATGATGCTGATGATGATGCTGCTAATGCTGATGAGGACGACGATGATGATGCTGCTGCTGATGCTGTTGATGATGTCTTTGCTGATGATGATGATGATGATGCTGATGATGATGCTGCTAATGCTGATGAGGACGATGGCGACGACGAGGACGACGCCGATGATGATGATGCTAATGATGGTTCTAATGATGATGCTTATGATGATGCTGATGATGATGATGATGATGATGAGGAGGATGAGGATGAGGATGAGGATGAGGATGATGATGATGATGCTGATGATGGTGCTGCTGCTGATGATGCTGATGGTGATGATTGTGGTGGTGATGATGATGCTCATGCTGGCGGTGACGCTGATGCTGTTGATGATGATTATGCTGCTGCTGATGCTAATGATTACGGTGATGCTGATGCTGATGCTGATGACGATGCTGATGTTGATGATGACGCTGATGATGATGGACGTTGGATGGCGCTGATGCTGATGACGATGATGCTGATGCTGAAACTGATGATGTTGATGATGCTGATGGTGATGATGCTAGTGAGCCTTCTGATCATGATGCTGATTCGGATCATGCTGCTGATTATGATGATGACGATGCGGGTGATGATGCTGCTGTTGTTGATAATGCTGATGACAATGACGATGACCGTGATGATGATAATGCTGATGATGCTGATGATGATGATGATGGTGATGATGATGATGATGCTGCTGATGATGATGATGATGATGCTGCTGATGATGATGCTGGTGCTGAAGCTGATGATGCTGCTGATTTTGATTATGATGATGGTGACGATGATGCTGCTGCAGATGTTGATGTTGATTATGATGCGGATGCTGATGCTGATGCTGATGCTGATGCTGCTGATGATGATGACGAGGCAGACAACAAAACCATACGTATACCTAAGTCGTGCGGCAAGACACATCAAACGGAATGACACATCAGAGTGCGAACATCGCATCTCGGCGCTTGCGAGTTCTGTATTGGCCATGTTCTAAAGTTGCTGGGTGGTCCCGAAAACCTTTGAACAGGCTGGGCACGTCGTAGCCCCTGCTGGGATCACGGACTCCAGAGGTTTCCTATGGTCGTGAATGCTCATCTTGTGCGTAGCCACGGCTTTTGCTGCTACTGAAAATTGAGGCACGCTCTGGGCACGGAATTGTCAGAGGCTCTGTGGAGTCGTCGGCAAAAGGCGCCGATCCTAGCACAACGTCCCGGGCGAGACGTCTCCATCACCAGTCGCTGGCTATGCATTCTGTCCATGCGGCTGCTCATTTTGCTGAGCTTGAGTCCCCAAGCGCATCTAGGTCGCGCCGGGCTGGTGGCGGCGCGAGCCCGGGAGTGGCTCGGAGGTCGGCGACTCGTCGAGACCACGGGGAGGGAGAGGCCGAGTGAGACAGGAGGAGGGCCTGCAGCGCAGGGAAGGGCATGCACATCAGACATCAAGCTGGATAGGTCTAACAGGCGGCGCCGCCAGAAACTATTCTCTATAGAGGTCTGCTGTGATTTCTGTAAAAACGCCAGATCGGTTAGGCGGGGTTTCCCAGGGATCGGAAAACGGCTCTCATGGGCTATCTTGCGCACGGCGCGCAGATATAAGGTGTACGCGAATGCGCCCACAGCTCAGAGTTATAGAACATCACTGAAAGGACGAGGGACTGAGAAAGTTGCAGCCTGAGCTGCACGCTCATGTGTTGCACTGCGAGGATCTTCCGCACCAGGCTATGGTATACTGCTGATGTTTTCCGTAGGCGTTCACGTATGTCCAGGGCGGAGGACGCGACCCTGGATTGGATGGATCCTGAGTGCTTGTGCTCTCTCACAGGTAGGGCCAAGGCAGGGCGCTCGGCGATCATCGCTTCTGCCTTAGCGGCCCAGGCGCCCTTGCCCCTCCACATGATGAGGGCCTCTGACCTGCCGGGCTCCCAGTTCAGCTGCATGCCGTGCCTCTCCATGGTGGTGTGCGCCGATTCGGCTACCATGGCGACGTTGCAGTTGATGCTCGCTCGCCCGGAATCAGTATGGCTTCAGCGTCGACGTACGTGACCTCCCCAGCTTTCGCGGTCTGCGCCAGGCTGGTGGGCTCATGGCGGGCCGCTGGGCTCGCACTCCGCAGCGAATGTGAGTTTGAGCTCGTCAAGCGCTCTCCCAGGGATACGCAAAACACAAGGCGCCGAAGCGGCAGCCTTGGCGTGAGCCCTTCGTTGTCCCTGCACTCAGGGTAGAGTGCGAACCAGGAGTCCTTATGCAAGTTGACCACCAAAAGCTGATGAGTGAGGTGCTCGGGGACTTCGATTTGCTGCAAGATGCCACCATGCTGCATGAGGTATTTGGCCAGATGCGAAGCTGCCGTGTTGTCAACCCCTACTTGCTTGAGCTGCGCGGTCAGGTCCGCCTCGGTGGTGGAGCCAGCCATTCCGCGTACAAGCTTGTCGAAAGCCTTCGTGAGGGGAGCCAGCCATTCCGCGTACAAGCTTGTCGAAAGTCTTCGTGAGGTCAAGGGACATAATGGCCGCCAGCCTCTTCTTGATGGCGGTCCTCTCGACGAAGCTCGACGCGACGTGGTGGCTCCGATTGGCCCTGGAGCACGCCACTCCACCGCACTGCTGCGGAGGCAGCGCTTCCTCAACTCGGCGTTGAACGGAAGGGCACAGGACCCCTGTGAACATTTTCCGAAGTGTGATCGCCCACCAGGAGCCCACGGTATATGTCGCAGTCTGCCGTGTCGCCCTCTCCTTTTGAATAGTTCGGCTAGCCTTCCCCCGCGCCATGCCATTGGGACATCACTGGACTGGATGACGTCTTCGATGGTCTCTGCTACGCAGTCGGCCGCCAAGTCACCAGCTGCCTTCCACACCCAGGTCGGCAGGCCGTCGGGGCCTGCCGCCTTGCTGTCCTTGACGGTCCGAAGGGGCCGGCTCACTCTGCAGCGCAGGCCGCCCACTTCAGCGAGGGCGTCGCGAACAAGCTGCGGGTCGGGCTGCACAGGAGGCGGTGGCTGCGGGACGTCCTGTTTTGTAACCCACCAGCCAGGAGCTCGGCGAAGAGGGTTCCCCACCGTTGGCCACCTGCGAGCTCACCGTTGGCCAAGCGAGTGCCTGGTGAAGTGGACGGAGAGAAACCGCCGAGTCGACGGACGATCGCGTGGGTCTTTCAGAGATATTTGGTTGCTGCCGCTGGGTCGGCCTCGCAGGCCAGGGTAGTCCACTGGTGCCTACGATCAGCGACCAGCGCCTCGGCCTTCTCAGCTTGGTCGAGTCGCAGCTGATGCAGTGCTGGGGCTTCCGCACCTCGAGCGCGGTGAAGCTGGGCGTAATGAAGTCCATAACGGTGCTCGCCATCATGTGGTGCACTCGACACATTGTGCGATCTCCAGGCGGAGAAGCACGCACGCAGGCGCGAGTTCTGGCAGTGCCAACGGGCGTTGCGTAGGGCACCCTTCAACGTCCATGCGCGCTGCATGAGCTGCCACCCGTGCTGGCAGATCCAAAGCTTGCGGGGCGCGTCACCATCTGTTGCAAAGATGCCCTGAACCATCTTTGTCATTGTTTGGTTCAGCTGCTGCAGTTTCTCGTGCGTGCGGCCCCGCAATGATTATTATGATAATGCTGATGGTGATGGTGATGACGATGATGGTTATGATAATCATGAGGATGATGATGAGGATGAGGACGCGGATTATAATGATGATGGTGATGCTGATGCTGACGATGATGCTGGTGCTGATGACGACTATGATGGCAATATTGATGATGCTGATGACGGTGATGATGACGATGATGATGATGATGATGATGATGATGATGATGATGATGATGATGATGATGATGATGATGCTGATGAAAACGATTATGATGATGCGGCTGATGATGATGCTGATGATGCTGGTGATGCTGATGATGAAGACGAGGAGGAGGAAACATACGAGGACGAGGATGATGATGATGATGATGATGATGATGATGATGATGATGATGATGATGATGATGATGATGAAGAAGATGATGATGATGATGATGATGATGAGGAGGAGGAGGAGGAGGAGGAGGAGGAGGAGGAGGAGGAGGAGTAGGAGAGAACGGCTTCGTCTATTAGACATCGAGCCGCGAGCGAAGCGAAGGAGTAGGAGGAGGGTTGGGTGGGGCCCCGCAGGCGCCGACGGCTGCGCCGCCGGGGGCGAGGCCGCAGGCCCCGCGGCGGGTCCGGCTGCGGTGATCGCGTGCGTTTTGAAGCTCTCCGCTGTCATGTTGGCGATTTTGGACGGGGCCCAAGCCGTGGGACCCTCGCAGACCGGGGCTCTCGCGCTGTTGGCGCGCCGTCGTGCGGGGTCCAAGGGCGGCAACTTCAGCAAGCACGGGAAGCAGCGACGAGCAGCGCGCATGCCCTCTGTCTCCGGGGGGAGGTACGCGAGCGTACGCAAGCATTCGCACCTGCACTTGGTGATCATACAGCATTGCAGCTTCCAGGACACCTGTCAAACGGCAGGCGGCAATCTTAGTCACTAGACCAAGGGCTCGACGTGTCCCAGAACAGGACAAGGCATGCATGATAAGGCCATTGGAATGAACCAACGTTCGTTAGTCGACCGTTTGTAGCGAAGGGGAATGCCAATCTGGTAGCCTGGTAGCCAGGATGCAGGCGGCAGAGGGGCTTATGAGATGACATGGGCGTTGAGGGTAAAGTTGTCACACTCGATGCCAGTGCAGTTTATGGTGTGGGGAACTATGGTGTGCGGAGAACGTGGTGAGCAATCTGAGTGAATTCAATGTTGCGGAAGTCCAGGCGTCAACGATTCAATAGTTGTTCAGCACAAGCTGCACATGTGCCAATGGTGCGACTCTCTACGACGAGCTCACTCTTCACACGCAGTACAAGTTTTTCTGCCTTGAGTGTCCATGTCGTCGAGCTGCGCGTATCAAGGTCTACTGCCTGGCATTACGCCATCGAGACTCGAAAACGCGTGCTGTCGTGTCGACCGCGCGCCGCGCTGCAAGAACTGCGCGCGCGTGCGCGATGCTTCTAGCCCTGTAGCTTTCGCCTTCTGCGCGCGGCCCGCCGCCACTGCTCCTGTGTCGCCCCCCAGCGCAAGGGCTTCCGCGCTTAGTCGATGATGAGGGGCTCGATCCTGAATCGATCCAGGCGTACTGCGCCGCGCCCGTGGGCGTGGCTGTGCAGCCGTGCCACCAGGAAACATGCGAGTGCCCTCAGCAGGCGCGTACAGGTGGCGGAAGCATCGCGATTTTGTGAGCCAGATGCTGCTCTCAGTTCGCCTCCTGGTCGCCTCCTCTCCTCGATCCCTCGGCCTTTGTGTCCTCCTAGGTTTCGCCCCTCTCAGCCTGTTCCCTCGTCGGGATCGCCCGGTCCTGCCTTTGCGTGTTTGCGCGTAAGTACCCTTGCGACGCATCCTATATGTAGTCACGGTGCGTTTGCTTTATCCTTGTTGCATATATCTGCGCTTTTTCATTGGCACCTACAGGTTGCCCATCAGCTGCAGCTGCGTACTACTGCTCCTCCCCTCCCCTCTTTCGCTCCTGCCTCCCGCGCTCAGTGGATGACGGCGCCGACGCGATGACGGAGATCGTGGCACTTTTTGACGAGGCCGCCGACGTGGAGGCGATTGTGCATCCACTCTTTACTCTTGCAGTCGAGTCGAGGACATGGGTTGTGAATCTGATGTTGAGGAGGAGCGTAAGACGATCAGGGGCAGAGCGACGCGAAGAGGCCCATGCCGCGCTCAAGGCCTACGCTGGATTCCGTGGAGTCAGTTGTAGTGGAAGTAACAGTTGTAGTAGCAGTGGTGGAAGTAGTGGTAGTAGTGGTAGTAGTGGAAGTACTGGTACTGGTACTGGTACTGGTAGTGGTACTGGTAGTGGTAGTGGTACTGGTAGTGGTAGTGGTAGTGGTAGTGGTAGTGGTAGTGGTAGTGGTAGTGGTAGTGGTAGTGGTAGTGGTAGTGGTAGTGGTAGTGGTAGTGGTAGTGGTAGCAGTGTTAGTAGCAGCAGTAGTAGCGGCAATCGTAATAGTTGCAGTGACAGCGGCAGTGGTCGGTCGGTAGGTGGATAGGTCGGTAGCTCGGTGTAGTTGTAGTGGTGGTCGTAGTCGTAGCTGTAGTAGAAGTAGTATTAGAAGTAGAAGTAGTAGCAGAAGTAGTAGTAGTAGTAGTAGTAGTAGTAGTCGTCATCGTCGTCGTAGTCGTCGCAGTCGTCGTAGTCGTAGTAGCCGCAGCTGTAGCAGTAGAAGTAGCATTAGTAGTAGAAGTAGTCGGCGTAGTCGTAGTAGTTGTAGTCGTAGTTGTATTCGTAGTCGTAGTCGTAGTCGTAGTAGTCGTTGTCGTAGTAGCAATTCACTTTTCGAAGTTGTACTAGTAACAGCCGCTTTTGTAGTCGTAGTAGACATAGTTGCAAAACAGTAGTCCTAGTTGTAGTAGTAGTAGCAGTAGCAATAGTGGTAATCTAAGTCGTCGTAGTAGTAGTAGTAGTAGTAGTAGTAGTAGTAGTAGTAGTGGTAGTAGTAGTAGTAGTAGTAGTAGTAGCAGTAGCAGTAGCAGGAGAAATAGCAAGTATTGTCGTAGTAGTAGTGGTAGTAATAGTTGCCTTAGCAGTAGTAGTAGTAGTAGTAGTAGTAGTAGTAGTAGTAGTAGTAGTAGTAGTAG